ACTCCTGACTAAATTAGTGAACCCTACACAAAATAAAGATCCTTCCTTTCTTACTCCTGACTAAATTAGTAAACCCCATCCAAAATAAAGATCCTTCCTTTCTTACTCCTGACTAAATTAGTGAACTAAACCCAAAATAAAGATCCTTCCTTTCTTACTGCTGCCTAAATTAGTAAACCCCATCCAAAATAAAGATCCTTCCTTTCTTACTCCTGACTAAATTAGTGAACTCCACCCAAAATAAAGATCCTTCTTTCTTACTCCTGACTAAATTGGTAAACCCTACACAAAATAAAGATCCTTCCTTTCTACTCCTGACTAAATTAGTAAACCCCACCTAAAACAAAGCTCCCTCCTTTCTCATGATTGGCTAAATTGGTAAACATTACCTAAGTAATTTAGCTGAAGAAAAAATGACTCTTCATACTTTTATTTCAATCCCTAACTACGACTGTAACAGTTTTCTTATCCACTACAGCTTTAGTGAGAAAAAATAAATGCTTATATATATTACCTCAGAACACAATGTTGGATATCAACCAAGAACACAATGTTGGATATCACCTCTGAACACAATGTTGGATATCACCTCTGAACACAATGTTGGATATCACCTCCGAACACAATTTTGGATATCAACCAAGGACACAATGTTGGAAATCACTTCAGAACACAATGTTGAATTTAGAAGAATTCCTTTACTGGTCCTAATAAACGATGTATTTGTGAAACGTACAATTGTCTTATTTTCCTCAATTCTGTAATTATGGAGTTTCACCAAGTACCAATGGTTTCAAGTATTTATGCATAAATATTCATTTCCTTTTAACATTGTCATGCAGAAAACAGTTTCAACTGTGTTGATAATATATGACTACTTGAAGTAGCAAATACAGAAATTACCTCTATAAATATTTTATAATTACTTTGAGTAACGTATGATGTAACTTTACCAGAAGAATACTCCTTGTTTCAATAAAATTCCAGTTGTGTGGTAATACGCTACATATTAAGGAAGAATCAGATAACAACATAATCAAAATATATATACTGCTAAAAACTAAAATTAACTGATAATTTTATTAACCATTTTTCTTGTTCGGCATATTGTAGAAGAACAGACTTATTTATCTGTCTATCTACACATAGAAGAAGTTTGTAGTTTTATAGTAAAGTTGGTATTATATTAGAGGTTCATCAGCTAAATTTAAAACTAAAACTTCACAAAAACATTTCTACTTACAGGGGGAGTAAGAAAAAACAGTTTAATCCCACCAACCAGAGGAAGCTGCTTCAGCAGTGGTTTTATTTCAATACGCATTGTACCATGAAACTATAGAATAAAATGCTCATTACTACCCAACTGTTCGTCTTCATACACAGAATATTACTTCTCAATTTCTTAATAATATACAACAATAACACTTTCAAAAAGTCAAATTCGATGATGAGGAACCCATTTTGAGACTAATAATGCTTGGAGCCATCTCCAACGTTATTATTTCTAAAAGTCAAGTTAACATAAAATGTTACTTTAAAAAATTATATTATTCAAAGATAGAATGAAACCAAAATATCCCTCATCAAGATTTGTATCTGACAACATCAACATTAGAGCATTTTAATTCTAGAAGGGCTTAATTTAAAAAACATTAATAAATATGACACTTAAACTGAGATGTAGAGCCATTACATAATGGTTTCCTGAAGAATAAGGAATGTGTTGATATAAATATATCAAGGATTCTGTTCAAGAGTCAAAGCCCCTTATTATTTATGTTATGAGTACTGCCATACTTTTTTCTGATCTTTCTCAGTGTTGGAGTTAAAATTAGTATAAAAATTCTCCAGAATACAGAAAATTTTTTGTTTTTTTTCTTTCAATAACTATTCATTTACCAGCCAAGTTTTCTTTTTTTGTGGTTGGCTACCATCAATTACAGACAAAAATGTTGTCTGTTTGTTTTAAAGCAAGGCGACATTGGGCTATCAGGGAATCAAAACCTGAAGTTTAACGTTGTAAGCGTGTAAGCTTACTGCTCTTCCACCATAGGACAATAAGAAAGTAAATTAATAGTTATTGTATGAAAAATCAAAATGATAACAGATATATTCACACATCAATCTTCTCTATACAGTCCAGTTACTAGTTCTCATTTAGTCACCAACAATACCTGGACATCTTTAATTCCAGCCTTCAATCCTGTCATCTTTACTGAAAATAAACAGTCTCCAGAATACCTGCAAAGCAACAAAGTGTCTATTTCACATTGTTTAAGAATATATAATAAATAATTTATGTTGAAAGTAAGTGTCTGCCTTACAGCTAGAGAATTCAATATGTTACGCAACCAATGTGGGTATAGTAAATATTGGTGTACAAGTTAAGTAACCCTTGTCAGTATAGTAAATATTGGTGTACAAGTTAAGTAACCATTGTCAGTATAGTAAATATTGGTGTACAAGTTAAGTAACCCTTGTCGATATAGTAAATATTGGTGGTACAAGTTAAGTAACTATTGTCAGTATAAGTAATATTGTGTACAAGTAAGTAACCATTGTGCAGTATAGTAATATGTGTACAAGTTAAGTACCT